ACAGTAATATACGAATTCCAGACCGTTTGATGATTCGGAGAATTAGCAACGTTGCAAGTCTGTTTTAGATGTTTTCACAGTGATTACCACTTTACCCTTCGTACTTTAATTTCACAATGAATAATACCACTTTACCCTGTGCACTTCAATTTAACAATGAATGCCATTTTATCCTGTGTACTTTGTTCACGTTTTTTGTTTTCGAATTGAAGTTGTGTGCGTTAAGGAGAGGAAATTATTATTGAAGTAAATTGCTTTGGGTAAGTGATTTCACGATTCACGACCCCGTCTCGTCGATTGAAACTAGGACGGTATTGCGAGTAGGTTTCAGTCGTTATGATGAAAATTGTCGTCGAAAGTTCAAGTTTCACTGAAGTTTACGGTTAGGATGTTCAGAAAGGCAATCTCACAATTACATCGTGATACAACAACATAATGCATTATTTCCTCTCCTTTCTTACTGTCCTTTTCTTCGCCGTTCCTTTCGTGGTCTCATCTGTCGATTCTCCAGTACCATTTCCAGTTGTCGTTGTTTTTATACGAATCCTCTCTGAACGTGCTTTAAATTTCTCAGTTATCACCTCATTTTCGTCTATTCATAGATTTTTCCACTCTCGCATTCCAAAGTTATCGCATTATTTCTCTTTACTCCGAGTGCTATTGTACAGCTAAAAGAAGCCTGACGATCATCGTAGTGGTGAAAGGTTCACATTTCAGTTGAATCGAATCGTCTGTGTTAAATGGTTTTTAATTTTTAACAATAAAACAATGTAACGAACGTGTTCGATTCGGCATGCATTTTGTTGTATACGGTCGTTTGTTTTTAAGATATTCAGTCTCTTGCAAAAGCTCGAAAACCGCAGATGCAAAACTTTCACTAACTTGACAGGGCGAAAATTTTTCAGAGATGAAATTCCTCTCGTTCTGTCTCGTCTTTTTGATTGAGATATGCGTCCTGGTGAGAATAAATGAATTCTCCACCAGATAAAAAACATAATCGTCTAAGGTTTTTGAATGCATGAAAAACCTGCCTATTCGTTCTTGAAGCAGATAATTTGTTTAGGTGAATTTTAAATTAATTCAGAAGAGAAGTGTGATTGGTCGGTCACCTGCCTAATGTATTGTCACCTCTGTTTTGAAAACTTATTCACGGCGAATCAAGTTGTTGATGTGTGATGACGAATTGCCTAAAGCAAATGCGTTCAGCAAGCGAAGAAGTTGAATTTTAGACGGGAACCTATTATGTGGACGTGACACTGGATGGAGCACCAATGCGAGATTCGCCGTTCCGTTTGCGAATCGGTCAAAAAGAAGAAAGCGATCCAACAGCGATATCGGTCAGTGGCGACGGTTTACGCCGCGGACAAACTGGCCAGAAGTGTGAATTCATCGTGAACACTTGCAACGCTGGTTCGGGTCTGTTGCAGATTCAAATCGACGGTCCTTCGAAAGTTACGCTCGATGCTTATGAGGTACGTTCTCATTGCTATGCTGCAGTCAAATATTCATTGTGCACATTTCGGTGATGTTCAAACAACAGAGGGAATCAATCTTTCATCTGAATTTCATATGAAAAGTGACAATTCAAGTTCACTTTCCTCGTTTAGTGTAACAATATAGAGATTTACAATGCACTCACTCCACATTTTCTTTAAGTTGGAGCAAGGATACAAAGTACGTTATATGGCACTCGCTCCTGGAGTTTACTATGCTGCAGTCAAATATTCGGGTTTGTAGTATTTTCTCGTGAAATGAATGTTCATGGTCTCCGAATGTGACGATGAAACAATCACTGGTTTATAGCCTAAATTAATTGATAATGTAGTAACCCAGCAAAGCAATTATTTCAGTTGCAATTTTCGATTAAAGAGTTTTTGGCTTAATTAATTAGTAAGCTGGATTGAATCAGTTCGAATCATATACTTAAATAATAGATAATTGAACCAATTGTTCTGGCGAAAATTTCTTATGATATTTAATAATGACAACGAGTATCCTTTTCAAGGTGTTCACATCCCTGGATCACCATTCAAGATCAATATGGAAGGGAAAGAATTGGGTGGTTCTGAGCCAGATTCGTCTTTAATTAAGGTTTATTTATTGCAACTAATCAACTGTAACTTTGTCTTACAATATTCGATATGAAGCATTTTTTACGCCTTCCCGTTTTGTCAGATTGATGCACTGGCTAAGACAAGCAAAGGTACGGTAGCACAAGTGCCTGAATATAAAGGTGATGCTAGCAAGGTGACGGTGAAAGGTGCTGGTCTCAATAAGTTCTTCCCGGGACGACCCGCTACGTTCAATATCGACACTGGCATGGCTGGTGAGTGCCTTCTTTTGAATATATCCGAACAAATATATTCAGTGTTTTGTTTACTCGAATTCGCCATATGAGTGCGAACCGTCTCAACTTTCAGGTACCAATTTATTGTTTGTTGGCGTTGTAACCACAAAAGGTCCATGTGAAGAAGTGATCGTCCGACATACCGGTCAAGGCAGTTATACAGTGACGTACCGAATTCAGGACCGTGTCAAAGGATTTGTTTTTGTGAAGTACGGCGATACTAATATTCCGGGATCACCATTCGCCATTTCGTTCTAGATTTGCGATTTATTCGTTCGTGTGTTGTTGATTGTTCGTTTGTGTGATTATTGATGCGATTAATACAGTGTGGAATTTATGACATTGCATTTTAGTGAAAAAGAAATGATTTGCAAATGTTTATCGTAAAGCGATATGACCGTTCGATAATCGTTTCAGTAATATTCTCATACAGTTATCATCATTTAACCGTTTATTCCAATTGCTCATTGTTTTTTATTTCGTTCATTTCAGATACCTATTGAATTGTCTACTCTTGCCTTATACGCATTTCAGTTGCATTAAAAATCAGTTTTGATTGGAAGCAATAGTGCATTTCTCTTTAATATTTGTTCGCGTTTCCTGTACGAACAACCTTCAGTTAATGAGTATTCTCATTTTGCAGCAACCATTTCAGTGCTGAGTTTTTATTTTAAATTTATTGATTGAGTGATCCTGTAACTTCCATAATTACGTGCTCTTATTCTAGTCTCAGATCTGTTCGACATGATCAGAGCGATTATCATTTAGTGTAGATCATTGTATGGGTATGGATATGAAAAAAACAAAGAAAATATAATGTTTAGTCGAGAATTAATTTACGTTTTTGGAATTTCTTTACTGATGGCCGAATCATTCAAATGTGATTGCTTGTTTCTTTGTGATAACTTGAAGGGTATTGTGCAAAGAAAGTTTTCTTTTTACGAGCAGTCAATCACTTTAAGCCTTATTTCGTATTCATTATAAATCATTAACGTTGCTCATTTTTCGCTCTATTCACTTCCTTTCGACTTCAACTGAAGACGACTTTTCATCGTGAAATGTCGCATTTCTCTGAAGGGTTTCATTTTCTGGAAGTGAATTTTTGGTGTTGTCTTCGCTCATCGTTGTTTCCGATTCTGATTCCTTTAACGGTCGTGTGAATTCCCCCAAAAAATGTGCCTTTAGCAAGAGTTCAGTCACTCTGAACAGTCATCCGACATGACATCGTTAACGTTAACAATTGTCTGACAAGTTGCTATGTATCGTGTAGCGTTGTTCTGAGCGTTCGTTTCGTTGTTTTTTTTTAAAATTTATTGATATTTCTTTTGAAACATCGTTTTTAGTAACGAAAATTGGAACATCTCGAACACTGGATGAGAGCTAGATGAATAGTTTTGTGCAGCAACTCGATGGATTGAATTCGTTGTTGTGATCGGTCTGTTGACAAAAA